CCCACCCACCCAAAAAAAAAAATCCTCCTCCCCGGACCGTGAGATCTAGGGATGCAATTTAAGTGGACTAACCCAAGGCCAACCCGAAAAAATTAGGACTTGAACTAGGATTTTTAATACTTAGGTTAAGGTTGAATCAAAAAATCTCAATCTGAATTCAATTTGTACAGGCTTCGGGTTAACCCCTAAGATTATCGGGTTGAACCCGAATATTAAAATCAGGTTCAACCCGAATATTCATAACCATATAAATATATTTTTTAAGTCTAAAGTTAATCTGTTCTGAAGTCTTCATTGTGCGTCTCCCTCACTCACTATTTAAGTAGTAAACTCTATGTTTGTATAAGGATTCTGGTTGTGTTTATTTGTATTCTGTATAGTTATAATTGCATTATCTCAAATAATGAATTCTTAATATTATGATTTTTATGTTAAAAATTTGATTAAAGTTGTTAATTGTTAATTTAGGTGAATATTATATAATATATGTATCATATTTGGAACAACAAACCTATTTTGGGCTCAACCCGAATTGAACCCGTAAAATAACTCGAAATTATTAATCCGAATTCAATTCAAGTCCACCCGAATTAAACTCGGACAGTGCTCGGGTTGAGTCCTTCAACCCGAGGTAGAGTTAAAGTTGAAGATTATATATTTAGGGTTGAGCTAAGGGTGATTGTCCAACCCGCCCAAGTTGCTCCCCTGGTGAGATCAGTCGAAGCACCTTGCACCCTTAGACGATATGCCAACCGAAGAATAGTGGTTGAAGTTTTGCTGGTTTTACGGTGGTGGGGTGGATGCATCATCCGAAGCAACACTCTGTTTCCATGTCCTTGCATGCACAAACACACTCACTCGGACCCGCAGGTACAGCACATCCTTCAAGGACATCACAAACAACAGCAGCTAAAACAAGCCGACAAATCAAGAGTAACCACAGCTAAAATATTCTGAAATCCGAAAGACTACAACATAATCTTTAGCAAAACAATAAATCCGGCATTTACAGAGATAACAATGTAATAGCCCAAACAACCACTCTGAGGCTCACGTAGAGAACCTTGTCTGCGCGGTAAACAATAGAAAAGCAAATGACAGAATAATGCTTGTCTGGGTGTATTAGTATTCACCTAAACCACAACAAACTACAACTTTCAAACAAAAAAAAAAAAAGAGCTGACAAGATTCTGACCGGAAGATGAACACTTGAAATCTGTTGATTTAGACGAGACTCCTTCGCAAACTGTTTTGAGAGACTGCGGGACTACTGAAACTGAGTGAGAGTAGGCAACATCACGGACTATGTTTGTATTCGAGATCTGAATGAGCAATTGAAGGAATTGTCACAGCAACAACTCAAGTTGACCTCATCCAATTTAGTCTAATCACAACCCCATCCATGCAATAATTATAGGATACAAGGTTAGATTGATTAACATACCAAACTAAAGTCTCAATATCCGGATATAGGCTTTAATATGTCAAGAATTAAAGATGTGCCAGTGATGATCTGCAGGTACAATTTCCTTAATTTTTTCAAGCCTCTTGAGAATTTCCAGGAAAGGAGGTCTCTTATTCATATCTGCTGCCCAACACTGCTCTGTCAACCTAAAAAGTTCAAAGGAAATTAGCAACCCAAGATTCTGGTACATGTTAAGGATAGAAAAAATATGCCATTCACTGTGAATACATAGATGTGCCAAGACACGCTTTGGTCGCATAATATGTGTAGTCAATGTCAAACCCAAGGTGTTTAAAGATCCATAACAGAATGTCAAATCTCTTTTTGATGTTGAAAAGAATTAGACAATAAAAGTATGGCAACAACTATTGTGCCACGGATAAAGAGAGACATTATTAATCTTGGAATTTCTATATTCAATTTTTTTACTGTTTGGTAACTTGTAAAGAGGCTTGCTAGTAATGACGGACGAATTTACATTCGTGGGCTCCTGTCTGTATTTGTGTAAGCAAGCTCATCAACTTCCCCCCTTCACAAATTCATCCACACTGCTTTGCAAAACTAAATCATCCACCAAGGGTGATTTTTGTGCTCTCCATGAGCAACCATAAAATTTCTTTTTATTATAGGTGTTTTATGCAAGCCAACAATGATGGAGATTGTCAAATGAGAGCATTGGAGTCAATTTATCAGCCATGCATGTTGTATTAATGCAAATTGCAAAACTATTTACAGACTACAAGAACTCCAAATGCAACTTACTCCCTCAATTCAGGCATGTAACTTTTTGCCCTGAACATAGGCCTATGTCCTTCTGCCACATATTTGGCTGCTTCATAAGGTTCATAGTGTGACAGCGGTGGGTCACCTTCAAGCATCTGCAACCTTCAGAGCATCAGCAACTAGATATTCTTTAACTTTGTATCATTTTCATGATTCTAATAAAAAACAAGATTACCTCATAGAGGATCATTGCAAAGGAGAAAACATCAACCTTCTTATCATATTTCCGGTGCTTGAAAACTTCAGGAGCCATATACCGGTCTTTTGTTTTATTCCACCGAAAAACAAGGAGGATAACTATCAACATAAAGATTCATACTCTATCTAAAAAAAAAAGAAATCAGACACTCACAGCTTCCAGTCTCGCCAGTCATTTTGTACACATCATGGGAATTCTGAACCTTAATAAGCTTGCTTAGTCCAAAGTCTCCTACTTTTAGATGGTCTGCACTGGAGTTGACTAGAAGAACATTCCTGCAAAATTACAAGAGTCAGCCTCGCAGATATAGAAAGTAGAAACAAACAGCCCCACCCCCTATGGCCAAAAAAAAAAAAAATTCAAAAACAAAATACCTACTTCAACAACAAGCATCAAAAATTCGTTTTAGTACAAAATTTTAGTTAGCTCGGAATCGAAAACATTTCAAAATATTTCAAAATCCGAGAAAAAAATTGGAAATTTATTTCCGAAAAATTGTGAACACGTTGAAGCATTCTAAAACACCTCAAACATAAGAATTTCGATATTTAATTACTGATTCATTTTGATTTTCATGCTTTACAGTCATTTTGGTGGAAAGGAAAATAAATTTAGTTCTTTGACCAACACAACATAAAAACACATATACCTTGGCACGTTGTTAAATTACCCAAAAAACTAGGCTTCACGTTGTTAAATTTAAGAAAGAGGTACTAACCTAGGATATACGATTACAGTCAGATCTTGAACAGATTTTCAACTAACCTTGGCTTTAGGTCCCTGTGAATTACAACATTTGGCTCATTGTGAAGATAAGCCATGCCTCTGCCCATGTAAGATTTATCAAACTCAGATTAGCATAATATTCACATTCAATATGACAGGACTTGACTATTAGAAAAGGAGTACTGGAAAATAATTCTATACTTCTCCAACTTGGATCACATTGTTTTGCCAATAATAATAATATCATGTTTAATATGAGGCAATGGCGGGTATATTGTCTGCCGAGATTCCTGAGAAAAGTGACCTTAAAAGGTAAAAGTAGTTTTCCTTCACTCATAAGAAATAAGAGGGCCTTATTCTGATAAAATGCAATACCATGGAGAAATTTCTGAAATAACTCCTAGATCTACCCTTAAAATTGCCAAGCACAATATGATCTATCCACATAAGGTTAACCCTATAAAACCTTTGATGAGTGAAATAGTTCCATCTGCTGAGTTCTCTTTATTATGGAACAAGTTTGAAAATTACTAAAACTCATCTGAGCAGTGAAAAGAAAAATCATCTGGGTAATCAACTGAGCACACAGGTTTTTTGCATGAATTCAATTCAAGCACTGATTCCTGAGGCAACAACTTACAGTACACCAAGGAAAGTAGAGCAATGAAAAACTATCACACTAGCAATGCAACTGAGTATCTGGATCTAATGTTTTCAGATGTTTTTCTCTTTTTCACTTTTTCAACAGAAAAGAAAGGAAGGTTGGAACTGAGGAAAAATACCACACTTAAACACAACTGACTAGAATAAAGAGGCCGGAGGATCCGNGCCAAGGAAAGTAGAGCAATGAAAAACTATCACACTAGCAATGCAACTGAGTATCTGGATCTAATGTTTTTCTCTTTTTCACTTTTTCAACAGAAAAGAAAGGAAGGTTGGAACCGAGGAAAAATACCACACTTAAACACAACTGACTAGAATAAAGAGGCCGGAGGATCCGGCAATTTGACAATAGTAAGTGGAGGTAAACAATATTGAAAACTGGTTATTACCGGGCGATGTCTAATGCAAAGTTGACTGCTGTTGATGGATTAAGTGCACCCTTTTCCTTAAGGTACTGATGAAGATCCCCCTGTACCGAAATAAGAAAGCCACTATTTAGCATATGGTGCTCCATTAATCAAAAAGAAAGATAAAGGTTCTACTTTGGGAGACACAATCAAATAAGCATTCACTTACTCCACGCAAATACTCAGTAATTAACATCAAGGGCCTCTTTTCAGTAACAGCTCCAAGAAACTGCACTATGTTAGGGTGGCGAAGCTTCACTAGCAAATTCACCTCGTGCCTGAAGTCCTGACTAAATCAAACAATAAACCATAAGCAAGGTATTTCAGGCCAAAAAGAAAAGGAAATTGGGTTTGCAAGAGGACATAAAATATTGCCATGACAAAATATCGGTTTTCATTTAATGTGACAGTGACCAGTTAAGCCTAATCGATACAAAACACAGACACTCTCAAAAAGGTGATGTATCCGTGTCGGACACTGACACTCTCAAACACATGTCAGCTATTCTCTTATCCGTGTCCATAATTAAATAATAAAATTTTCATTTTGGACACGTGTTGGACACCTCTTTGATAACGTGTCCGACACTTCTTTAGACCGTGTCTACTATTAAACAATAAACATGTGATTTATGAAGTTTAAAATTTTGACTATTAATTATCTTATACTATGAGATAACATATAATTACCAAGACTATACATGTTAAAGTTGTCCTCAAAATATAATAACAAAAAAGCAAAATATACATAAAAGATTTAGAAAAAAAATAATTGAAAAAATGATAACAATCATTTAAATTATATATATTTAGTACACATCTACAAAAAATTGACGATTATTGATTATTATGATGTTAGTCTAAAAATTCACACTAGATGACTAGACATAACATTTACTTATCATGAAAATATTAAATTTTTTATGAATAATATATCATTATTACTACCACTATATTTGTAACAAATTATATAATTTTATATATATAACACAATTATCTGTAGCGTGTTCCTAACATGTTTGTGTCCTAATTTTTTGAGTAATGTAACGTCCGCGTCTGAGACTGTGTCTGTGCTTCTTAGATACAAAACAATAAATCCCTGCTTAACCCCTTGGAAACCCATCATTTAGGCTAAGAAAGCATGGAGTATAAAGTCAGAAGATTTCATGGCCATTTGAAATTGACAAGTCACCCTGCTCTTATATCTTTGGATTGGCTCCCATTAACAATCAGTGGTGTTCAAAAAAGAATCTGCCAACAAAATTGACACATATAACAGAAANCATCCCTGCTTAACCCCTTGGAAACCCATCATCTAGGCTAAGAAAGCATGGAATATAAAGTCAGAAGATTTCATGGCCATTTGAAATTGACAAGTCACCCTGCTCTTATATCTTTGGATTGGCTCCCATTAACAATCAGTGGTGTTCAAAAAAGAATCTGCCAACAAAATTGACACATATAACAGAACAAAAAATTATCATATCCCGACCCTGTAATTAACGCAGTCATATGTGCATCATGATGTAAAAGTCAAAATACCACTAAAAGAAAATGAGCTATGGACAGTCGAATTTACATCACCAATCTATCATCTGAAAGATTTGGAAGAATGCGTTTGACAGCCACAGGTGTTCCACGCCAACCTGCCTTTACAATCTCACCAAAGGACCCCTACCAGCATCAGCTATAATCAGTAACAGTAGATTGTGCAGATACAGTAACAGAGGTACATAGCTCAAAAACAGACAGTCATAGTCTTTATCATGACTCCTAGAATATTGTTACATATATCTGCTATTACTAGAATAGTAGCTTACAAATAAAATTGAGATTTACAATCCCATATATCCATAAAAAAAATTAAAAAAAAAAACTACTGAAACCACACCTTCCCTATGATGACCGAGTTCGAGAAGTCAAGTTCCAAAGGGTCAATCTCCCAGTCACATTTTTTTGATAATGGGGGTGCAACAGGCCTTGGTTCAAAATGACTGCCATTCTGGCCCTGCAGCATAAAAAATACCACTTAAGCTTCCACAAAATCAGTTAAACCTTAAATTCAGAAGATATATCAGCATCAGTATCTTCATGAAGACTTCTAGTCTATTTAGCACTAACATCAATAAAACAAAATGGAAGAAGCAAGGTAACAGTAAGATTTTATGCTTGTATTTCCATGCGCAAGTAAAAAAGCATATATTGTTATAACGAGGTTAGAGGCTGAAGTTTGATTAACATGTGAATGGTATTTAATTGCATAGTCGTTACATGTCCTTTTGCAAGAAAAGGAAATTTAATTTGTACATACTTTTTTTTCTTGCTCTGCAATGACCAACTTAAGTGGATGTTACTGCTGTAGCTGCCTTACCAGCAATACAATATCCTGAACTTCAGAACTTAGGTCCCACGTTTCTTCTGTAGATAATAAAGATTCTGACTATAGTCAGCCAATCAAACTTACTTGAGTTGTTCAAAATCATTCAAAGGTCAAATCCACCAGCTTTCTACTCCGATCACAACATCACATTGACTCGGCCCTGTTGGAGACTTGTGAATATGTCAAGAAAATGTCTTTAGGCTTTAGAGAGATTTTTTTTTTCCTTAACAAACTTTCTTTTGTTTTTGTTTCTGCAGAGAGGATAGGTGACTTGAGGAAGATGAATTTCCTTTCTGATCATAAATATTCAAGCCACGTGAACTCAGCATAGGATTCATTAATTTTTACCATCAATCTAAAACGTTGTTGCCAAGCTCATGAGCACTCCAAGGCTCAAAGGCCACAAAGCTACTGGAACTTGGATCAAGATTTGCCCAATTGACAATTGTTTGTGTTTTGTTGATGAGAAAAACAAGAAAACTTGAGCCTAAGTGGGAGGTCATTCGTGCAATTGAGCAGTCCCCCATTTGTCAATCAATTAACTCGTTCACAACCCCAACTCGAAATAATCAGATTTATCAGCACCTCTTCAAAAGATTTCACATTATAGTCTTGTAGATGAATCAAACACATTCTTGTTCAATGAAAAAAATATTATCTTAGCNGTCAATCAATTAACTCGTTCACAACCCCAACTCGAAATAATCAGATTTATCAGCACCTCTTCAAAAGATTTCACATTTTAGTCTTGTAGATGAATCAAACACATTCTTGTTCAATGAAAAAAATATTATCTTAGCAAATGCAGAGCCTGGGTAGCATACTAACGGTAGTCCAACTTTGGCAGCTCACACTCCACATTGAAAGTCAAAAAAACTTTTGCAGGACACTAAAGTGGGGCCATAAACAGCCAAAATTGAGTAATGAATAGTCACCAATAGGTCAATCGAAGTTACGCAAATAACAAGAGAAAAATAATTCCGAAGTCTGAACTGAGTAACTGCCAGCAGTTTTTTCCTAGATTAGTGTTCTCATAAGCTAAGGCATGCTTCAATTTAAACACGTTATCAAAATTCTACAGATGCAATCTAGGATAGCAGCAGAATGTAAAGAAGCCACCAGCTACCCCAAGCTTGATATAATACTGAAGGGTCAATAACTACTATCATCATGGTAGTAACAAAAGAAAACAAAATTATCGAACCAAATCCAGTGTCACATTATAACAGACATCACAAAGCACCGAAGGAGGTATAGAGAGAATAGAAAGGACTGGACTTACGTAAGACAGGCCACCATACGACTTTAGCAACTCAATCATGCTATGTTTTTTAGCTCCTTCTGCATCAGCTAGAGGCTGTCATGAGTAGTGTCAAGTTCAGATAACATATTGAGAGTAACAGTGAAGGACTGAGCTACATGAAGGCTGCACGGTCAACAAAGAGGCTTGTACAGAATGCATTACCAAAAAATATACATATTACATTAGCCAGTTTGGCTTTGTCCCTGCACATGACCATGTACTATACAAGGCTCGTATATGACATAACATAGCAGCACAAGATTCAAAAAGGGACATAAGATCAAACAATTAAGAAGCAGGATGGGCATCGGGCCAAGCTGGCTTGCCCACAAGTCAACTGCCCAGGTGGAAAAGGGTAGCCCTTCATTCTAGATGGGCCTTTAGCAGGTTGCCCACTTGCCAATCCTAATGCGCCTTAAATGATTTAAAATATCTATTCCCATAGATTAAGATATTTCTATGGATAGTGAAATTAAATAACTAAATCATAATTTGAGGTATTAAACTTCCAGTTGGGACCAAAATACATTTTTGTTAGTTCATTTATCTAAAAAATACTTCCTTTACACTTTCATTCAGTTTCCACAACAATTGCCTCAATTAGTTTTTTGATTTTTTTCCCTAATTATCTCTGCCAAGGTAGAGGTGGGTTTAGAAGTGGGGTCTTGGTTCATAAAACCACACGATTTTCCTGATCTAAAAAGGGTGGACGTGGGTTTGAGAGTTGGGCGCGGGCTGTAAGATAGAGGTAGAGTCAATTAGAGGACTGGTGGTGAGATATGGGGTGGATGACTATATGTGTGTAAATTGTGAAGTACTCCCAAAGCAAGTATGATGCATTTATTGGTTTTGGTCATTCGCACAAAAATGTGGTAAGGTACCTTTAGCCTTAACAAGGTTTAAAGCCTGCTTGTGTGAATAATAGGCAGAAAACTAAGTCCTTATCCATACAGTTGGCGAAAATTATAAGCCAAAACGTCACATATAAATCAATGAAATGCATTAAGCAATACTACATCCAGAGCCATGATGTAACAGGTCATACCTTTCCAGCCAAGAACTCCTGTGATAGAAACTAACTCACTAGCCAAGAGTTATTGTTTTCAGAGAGAGAGAGTTGCCCTAGTCGGCAATAACAATAATTGTCAGAAAATGATGACTCTTTCAAGCTACATATCAAATATGTATGTCACCAGAAAGAAATGAAAAGAAACTTTGCCAGAAATTCATAGTTTCCAAGCAACTTTTACCTTCAGCTCTTTTCAGGCCACCAAAAAAAAAAAAAAAATCAATGCTAGTGACCTTGATAGTTTCCATGAAAGAACAAATTTTAGTTACAAGAGCCCCAAAATTTAAGACAAACATGAAGAAACTACAGTTAATTTCCAGCTGCACGGACAGAGAGAGAGAGAGAGAGAGAGAGAGAGAGAGAGAAATTCCTTCCCATTCAATTGAATTCCATAACATCTAAAGAGGAAGCATTAACAGCAAGCGTTGGTGTGACACAAGTCCCTAAAACCAATTTAACAGTGAAAACCTTCTCTAGCAATAATCAAAGTCAACATCAACACAAAATGAGAAACACACTCGGACAACTAAATCTCAGATACATAAATACAAATCCATTTATCGATACACACACACACGCGCGTAAATATATAGCAAGTATTACCGTGTTTTTCCAGCGATCTTGGGCGTTGACATCAGCCCCGAAGTCAATCAAGCACTTGGCAACATCGATCCATCCGTGAATACTCGCCACATGAAGCGGAGTCCGATTATCATAATCTCCGGCGTGCACCAGCGACGGATCTTCCTCCAGAAGCTTCCGCACCGCCGCAACGTCATTCTGATGCGCGTGCCACAGTATCAGCGACGTCCGACTCACTCTCGCCTTCTCCTTCTTCTTCTCCGCAGCCGGCGCTCCCGTCTCGCCGCCGGCCGAGTGCCCCGAGCTCCCTTCGCTCCCACTCATTTTCGGATCGGATTGTTTAGGTTATCAGCAAGTTTATATGTCGATCTTGGGTTTTGGATTTGCGTTTGCGATTTTAGAAGAATGGAAGTATGCAATTGGAACAGAGGAGGGAAAGAGGCTTTTAAGTGTAAAGATGGGTTGTGTTTGGACGTGGATGGAACTTGTCGGTTATTGGGCATTTAATTTTTCAACGGAATTTGATTCTCTCTCTCCCTTTCCATGTCGGTTGGTGTAATTTCTGTGCTAACTTTTGTGGTCTCGTGATTGAAAGAAGTGTTAATGATCATTGAATGAGTTTATTTGAGATTGTCGAATAAATTTATTGATCATGTCTTATTTTATATGATATATATATAATAAAATAATTTTTATTTTTTACAGTTGAAATATTTTTAAATTTTATTTTAAAATTAATTTATTAACTAATATTAACGCTTCAAATATAATAAAGAATATAGACATCTAACGAGTGTATTTATGATGACTTTTTAAAAATATTTCTAAAACTTATAACTACTTATGAATACTTTAAAAAAAAATAGAATTTGGAATTACTCCATCATTACTGACACACCACCACCACCACCACCACACCAACTGCCTCATCACCACCACCACCGCCACAGCAACTGCCTCACCATCGCCACCACTACTGTCATCACCTCACCACCATCGTTATTGACAATATTGTCGTCATCCCATCACCACCACCACCACCATTGTCACCTACTACTGATTGTTATTATTGTCGTCCACCGTTACCACCCATTATAATTTTCATCTCTTTTAATTTTTTTTTAATTTTTTTGGGAGGGGATAAAGAAGAGGGACTTGAACTTTTGACCTCAAGAAAGGCAAAGCCTTCATAAGGTAAGGAGTATCATTAGACCAAAAGTCACCATCAACATCCACCACTACCATTGTTGTTCACCACCATCCATCGCCGCCCACTATCACAATCAACCACCACCCATCATTGCCCACCATCGCTGTCAATCACTGTCACCCCCGTCACCCCCACCACACTTACACTGCCACCACTGTTATTTACCGTAACCCATCACATTGTCATCTAAAAACACCTTTCGCCCACCATCACAATCAACACTACCAACCATCATCGTCGTCCCATCATCACCACTATCAACCACCTTTACCGTCGCCCACAACCACTACTATTGTCATCCATGGCTGTCACTACCATCATCATCACCAAAAATTCACAACCAGCATCACTATTGTCACTCATGACTGTCACTATTACTTTGGTCATCGTCACCCACCATAAACCATCGCTGTCTTCCACCACCACCACTACCACTGTTTACCCCCACAACAACTGGTATTTAAATTATTATTTTTTCTCTATGTTTGAAATTTGATTTAGATGTACATATAAATATATGTATTGTTAACCATTTTTTTTATTATTCTTTATCTTCAGGCACAGACAATAATTAGTCATGTTATCTTATAGATGTGTTTTCATTTCCTTTTTTTTTTTTTTTATATTAGAGAAAATTTTAGTCACACATTTTTTAATTTACCATATCTTTAAAGACACTCATTTTATTATTCAAAAATATTATTAACATCATTTTTAGTTTATATTTAAACATTATTGACACCCCTACCATTAAACCACTATTTCTAACAAAAAAAATTATCTAAAATATCAAAATTACCCCTACATAACCCCCCAAATAATATTTATATATGAAATTTAATTAAAATTTGTTTCGATTAAAATTTATTTTTTTATATATTAAAATTTGAACTGATAAAAATTTATTTTTTTATGTATTAAAATTTTAATTCAAGCTAATTAATTTTTTTTATGTATTAAAATTTGAGTTTATTAAATTTTTTTATGTATTAAAATTCGAGTCGATTTGAACTCAACTTGAGTTGTTAACGCCGATTAAAATTCGATTCGAATCGATCAAAATTTATATTTTGTACGTATTAAAATGTGGGCCAATTAAAATTCAATACGAGTTAATTAAAATTTGATTCGAGATGATTAAACAAAAAATTTAATAAACTCGAATCGGATTTTAATACATAAAAATTTCATAAAACATATGGATTCTCATTAAAGATAAGCCTATTTAAAGGAGTTATGGATGAAATTTTTCTTAAAATATATCATGAAAATTTAATANTGAGTCGATTTGAACTCAACTTAAGTTGTTAGCGCCGATTAAAATTCGATTCGAATCGATCAAAATTTATATTTTGTACGTATTAAAATGCGGGCCAATTAAAATTCAATACGAGTTAATTAAAATTTGATTCGAGATGATTAAACAAAAATTTTAATAAACTCGAATCGGATTTTAATACATAAAAATTTCATAAAACATATGGATTCTCATTAAAGATAAGTCTATTTAAAGGAGTTATGGATGAAATTTTTCTTAAAATATATCATGAAAATTTAATAAAATTATATTTAAAGCCTTTAATTTGAAATGGGTCTTAGTAAAGATTTAAAAAATAAAGAGAGTGTTTTTAAAAATATGATAAAATAAAAAGAATGTGACTAAAATTTTTCTTTTATATTATTGTTAGGCTCCCGTTCATTTACACGAACATTAACTAACTTCTTTCCTGCTTGCATAAAAGTCATCCACCTTAGGATTAAGAAATTCATAATTTGACCTCAAGAAAATTTTTAAGTTTTAAACTCTATTTTTTATACCAAATCAAAGCGTTTTATTTTTCATTTGATAGGTATGAAAAAAGTTCAGGTTTAAGACTTTGGTTGATGGGTGTAAGGAATAAGGTTCTTTGTCCAATAAATTTTGAATGAACAATCTAAAATTTCTCTAATCTATCGTCCATTTGGTAAGCATGTGAAATATTTTGTCCAAAAATCTAATAGCGATNGATTAAGAAATTCATAATTTGACCTCAAGAAAATTTTTAAGTTTTAAACTCTATTTTTTATACCAAATCAAAGAGTTTTATTTTTCATTTGATAGGTATGAAAAAAGTTCAGGTTTAAGACTTTGGTTGATGGGTGTAAGGAATAAGGTTCTTTGTCCAATAAATTTTGAATGAACAATCTAAAATTTCTCTAATCTATCGTCCATTTGGTAAGCATGTGAAATATTTTGTCCAAAAATCTAATAGCGATGAACATACTGACTTAATTTTTAAAATTTTATAGTTTAACAGCTCAATTAACACGAAAATTAGTTCAAAAATTTACTTTATAAAATTTTCGAGTTTAATAATTCAATTGATACAAAAACTTCGTTAAGGAACTTAATTGACACAAGAGTCATAGTTTAAAGACTATTTGTGTAATTTATTGTATTACAAATATTTNCATTTGGTAAGCATGTGAAATATTTTGTCCAAAAATCTAATAGCGATGAACATACTGACTTAATTTTTAAAATTTTATAGTTTAATAGCTCAATTAACACGAAAATTAGTTCAAAAATTTACTTTATAAAATTTTCGAGTTTAATAATTCAATTGATACAAAAACTTCGTTAAGGAACTTAATTGACACAAGAGTCATAGTTTAAAGACTATTTGTGTAATTTATTGTATTACAAATATTTTTTCCCAATCGACATTATTATTATTATTTTGCAACACTAAACTTTCCAAGACAAAGTTAGAGACAATAAATTTCAAATACTCATAACTACTCAATGCGAATATGTAAATTAGATGATAGAATCGCTAGCGAAGTTCGATTTCATTTTGAATCTATGGTTCATCCCAAGTCTAATCTCACATCATTGAACTACTCCGTGCAAATTGACAATATTATTAATTTGTTTTCATCTAAAATTTTATACACTAGGAGTTGATCTAACCATATAGAATTTGTAAGAATTTCTATTTTTTCTTGCTTAAAAAACAGTCAAGAACTTCTAAATTTTCATTCGAACAAGTAAGTCGGTTATTATCGCCGTATACCATTGTTGAATGATTTTTCTCATTAAAATTANCAATGCGAATATGTAAATTAGATGATAGAATCGCTAGCGAAGTTCGATTTCATTTTGAATCTATGGTTCATCCTAAGTCTAATCTCACATCATTGAACTACTCCGTGCAAATTGACAATATTATTAATTTGTTTTCATCTAAAATTTTATACACTAGGAGTTGATCTAACCATATAGAATTTGTAAGAATTTCTATTTTTTCTTGCTTAAAAAACAGTCAAGAACTTCTAAATTTTCATTCGAACAAGTAAGTCGGTTATTATCGCCGTATACCATTGTTGAATGATTTTTCTCATTAAAATTATACCACATGTCTTTATACAATTATATTTAGTAATTCATGTATAGGAAAATACCTCATGGTTGGAAAGTTGCATTCTAAATGGCATCATGAAGTGTATGTGTGCGTAGAGGATTCATGTAGTCGAATTTGAAAATATTAATAAAATATATAATATCAAATAGTGCATGCTTCAATAAGCTAATTCGATAATTTTAACTAGACTCATTTAACGGCCAACAACATTTTTTTAGAATCATTCATATTGCATCGTGTTTTCAACCACTGGCTTCTTTTAGTATAATGACGAAATAAGATTCAAATAACCGACCTTAAAAATATTATAACAAAACTATCATAAGTTGAGTATAAAATTTCAGAGTAGAGACAATCTATTATACAGTAGAAGTACATTGAATTTTCCTTTTTATTTTTTTTAAAGGTAAAGTTTGCTGAAATTTCACAACCATTCACGACTGAAATATAGTTGATTTGATTTTGGATAAGATGTCATTTTCACCTTAGTCTTCTGATGAAATTTCATCAACGTGGTGATAAGTTTACAATTGTTGTTGTTCTAATCAATTATGTCGGCTTCTCTACTCCATGTTTTGGTTTATAATTCTAGATTGAATGGATCATACATGTGAAATTTTATCATTATATTAATTATAACTCGTGACTGAAAATACGATCTCATTATATTAAATAATAATTTTTTTCTTTTAAAATTTATTTTTACCCACTATTTTCTTCAAAATATTGGCAAAATTTGTTCAAAATATGTAATTTAATAAAATTTTCTCAACATTTGCATACCATCACCACTTATTTTTCGACATCCAGAATATGTTATGTAACTTTAACTTCGATTTCGACGTAAGTGCAATAAGATCCCTTATAAATCATTATGTGGCGCAAAAAAATAATGCTCTCTGATAAATATGTAAAACGACTTATCTGCATATCCATTTTATATACCAAAAAAAAAAAAAAACTTGTGAGTAAAAATTCTCTACTTTTAAAAATCAATAATAAAGGTGTTGATGATTAAAACAACGTCAAACGAGTTTTTTTGTTAAATAGAACGTCATCATTTTTGTACAAAACGATATTGTTTTAATCAAGAACACTTCTGCTGTTAAAAATTAGTAGCAGAGGAGCCGGATGCTACTAACTTATCCAGATTCTTCCCAAATATAAGCTTTTTATCACTGTAATAATGATGATTGTTAGACAGTCCCATACATTCATTTCTAAATCGTTACAACTTTAAAGACAATAAATTATATTACAGTATCCAGTAATTTTTTTAAATTTTTTTTTTTTTTTTGGTGCAGCTTCGACCACACAATGTCTCATGCAGTCTTGTGCAGCTCAGGAGGAACTTTTACTTCATATTAAGTCCTCTTGGTCTTCTAGAGATCGCTTGCGAGCCTTCAAGTTGAGCTTAAGGCTTTCCGGTAGAGGAGGTGTCCTCCCTCTACGGAACAGAACTGCAAGAGCCCTCATGTTCCGGCAAAGATCAAATACCTGCAGAAAATGTTCGGTCAATATGAAGCATGAACTTGTAAGGCAAATAAGGCAAATTTGAAGGTTGGTATTCGTCTTAGTTCTTACTGATGAAGCTTCTATCTCTGCAACACCTTCACAACCTTGACCTCCTCCCTCCAGTAAGTCGCAATATCTTGCAGCTTCATTCTGGTCTTCAAATACCTTCCATAACAATTTTAGTTTTTGAGTATGCTACCACATTCAACAATTGAGATATCACTTTGAAGTACAAGTACCTACCTCAATTAATTGGATCATTACACAAAAAAAAAAAAACAGTTACCCGTGGATGACACATACATTCTGTGAAGCGTTACTCAAGTTTTTATAAACACAAAACAACCGAACCAGAGCATATTGCAACTCGTCAGACTAGTTAGTTTTGTTCAACATAACTTGATAACTCAAACAAGATAAATGAGGGTTAGTACCCTCAGCATTGTCATGGCAATGCAATGATGTCATAGGATAGATGTATCTGAATCTAAGCAAACCGCCAATTATATAATTGTTAGCATTTTGCAATGTCTTAGCATAAAAATTTGGACAACAAAAGATCTGTGTCCTCTCAACTTTCTCCCTTCTATAGTCTGTAGCTTGCTCATCATTTAAAATTAAACACCTTGACTAGTTATTGCCAATCGCCTCATTGAGCAGAGATATATAATCTCATGTACAAAACCCAAGTCACAAATGTGGCACAACAGGAAACAACAGCAATCGCCATAGATGACAAATAATTTTACCCAATACATTGGCGCTGTTTAGTTCCATTAGACATCATAACAGTATAACACCATCCCCAGCCTGGACAAAAAAAGCAATTGCCCAGGTTGGCCCACCGATCAAAGGCGTGTGAAGGGTAGACTACACACAGATGTAAACCTGAACCATTTGGCTGCCCTCAGACTTAAACTAGTGTTCAGACCCTTGACAATCTGTGTGAGCACAAAGAAAATTCCATTCTCCTGAGCTGCAATTCAACTTTCTGTGATCTTGCTTTATCCCGAACCACTCTCCTACTGAAGACAAAGACCACCACAGACTAATAAACATGAATATCCACATGCTAAAAGTATGTCTGCTTCAATCAACTATGGACTTAAACCTCACATGTTATAGTTTTTTTGCCTTAGACATTTGGAGGCCCCAAATTCTGCCTCCATATAAATCATTCAACACAATGTTTTGTATTATCATGTGTCAGACATTCAACACGGAATAGATGTAAGAACTTACAAGGACTCCCTCCCTGACATCCTCAACAAGCATTGGAAACTTTGTGCCACTTACTGACTGCTTGGCCTGATTTCTCCGCTTCTCACCTTTGGAAAAAAGAAGCCCAAGCTCTCTTTCAACTTCACTGCTACAAAAAACACCCCATGAGCCAGGTTAATAATCTCAGGTCTAAATTACTTTTTACCATTGTGGTTTAAGCCAGTGATACTTTCCTTCGTTATTTCTTAGAAACGTACACTTCATCCCCTTAAGGTTTAGGACTAAAGTGCAACAGTTAACACTTAACAGGACTAATGATTTAGTATCCAAAGACAATAATATCCTTATCTTTTTCAGGTTTCTAGTATTTTTTCTATGTAAATTACTTTGTTAAAAACATACATGATACTTAAAAAGAGAAGAGAGAAAATGAAATCAATTTATGTTAAAGATGAACGAAAAAATATATAATGTGTATCATTGTAGAAAGTCATTTTATCCAAACTTTTGCTTTTTTAACCATCGATTTTAACAGAAATACTCATGGTGATACTTTATCCAAAACCACAAGGGGTGAAGTATAACGTTTCAAATCATAGAGGTAAAGTGTCACCAACTATTGAAGGGAAAGAATAAAAACCAAACAGACCTGCGATTTCTTCGAGTTTTCATTGTGCACAACAGATTTTCCCTTTGGGTTAGTACATATACTGGTTTTGAAGTTTCTCTCCATGGATTGGCCTCCAATACTAGAAAAAAAAAAACTGAATAAAGAACTTTGCAAAGTCTTGCAGTTGTAGAAAGAAAAACAAAGATGACATCATGCACTAATGAGACTTCTGCCATATACATTTTTGCTAGAGAGAGAGAGAGAGAGAGCTTTATTACTTGGGAATAACCTACTGTTCTCCAACACACAAGGAATTCTGGCCGGTTAAGAAGCAGTCATCGTCACATTTGACCCTAATTATTCATACCATTCATTGCGTATATGTGCCAATATAAAAATTAAAGTTTTGTGTAAGATAACAGAAAATTGAGATGTTTTATTAAAGATCTATTGATAGTTGGGATAACAACATAACGGACTCTCCACCTCCTTAACTCAACAAGCTAGTACCAGTACCTAAAGGCTACAGATATGTCACAGTGAATGATACAACAATCATTTTAGAGAATGTAAACTTATAAATTGGAATTTATAACCTTATAAATTGCAATTGCCTAAAAAACACATTAAAAAAAGTTTAAAAAGTGCAGGACCACACTGCAAATGCAATTTAAACGGGAAGTACAGAATTTATTTCAAACATTAATATTTTACATTCCTTTAAGTCAGTCCCCAAGCTCCAAGAGAAAATTGACGCAGTACCTCATTTTGATGAGGCGCATACCATGAATGCAACAAAATCTTCAAGATACAAGTGCATAAACTTATGATACAAATACGTCTCAACACCATGAACTTCTAGTACAAGTGAAGACAAAACAATCTGTCTGAAACTGTCAAGATTCAGTTTTATTCCCACTGGCAGACCATAAAAGTCCATGATGCATCTCCATGGATATGTATGCCGCTTATAGATGGATCATGTTTCATTGACAAATCTGACCTAGTTGTATAGCAAAGTGACAATGAGGCCTCTCATTGCAAACTCAAGTTGATCCATTCATCTGATGATCTGAAATTTTTTTAACTATATAAACCCCACCCCCCAAAAAAAAAAAAAAGTGGGGAGGGGACAGAAAGAACCTGACTGATCCAGTCTTTCATTTCCATGGAAAGATCATTTCCTTCAAGAGTGCATTCAACTATTACATCAAAATATAGCTACACCCCCGTAATTTCCGAATTTGGTGAGCAGTTCAAGATAACAATACAGTCAAATTATCAGGTGGGCAAGCTGGTAGGCATCATCATCTCATAAAGCAAGGACTGGAAAACATATCTATTTAGTAGCAAGAGTAATCGAATGAAATTTGTATCTATTCCAAATGCAGAACAACTAACAAAAAGGGAATCAATTGGGCTTACATGAGTTTTAACTTTTAAGGAATCAACACAAAATAGATGATGAAACTGGAAAAAGGAGAAAAATGTAGCAGATAGCACATAATCGTAGAAAGGCTCAATTTAATCATCTTCACAATAACCGATTCCTAAATAATTAACAAGCTCAAGGTATCAATTAATCGAATAGGGAATGAGGTTAGAAAGGAGTAAAATAGATTTATTACCATCGTAGCTGCTGCTATCGAATGTCTGTTCTAAATGTCTACGCATGTTGTAAGCGCGCGAAGAGACTCGCTTAACGAATTCATCGGAAGTCACCGGAATTGTCCCGTCCATGTGAAGTGCCCTCTCCACCTCCTCATCTCTCCCATCCTCTCCATCTTCTTCTCTCTCCTCTTCTCCCCCGCTGCTCAATTTACCAAACACTCCCATACACCTTCTCCTGCCAGATTCCATATAGTACGGCTGACCGGAAAAGGAGGAGAGAAGACGCTCTTGTTTCCGGCATGAGAACGGGAGGCCGATCCGCCGCCAGCGATGGTGGTGGTGGTGACGCAGGGGATTTCCAGGAGGAAGGATGATTGAAGGCGAGACTGATGAGAGAGAATCCATAAGAGGCCACTCTCTCTCTGTCTTCTCTCTGTGCTAGTGATGAACTATTTGAAGGAGAGAGAAAGAGCTCGGGAAGGTATAGGAGCCGTGAAGGACAGCGTGACGGCTGTGGAATCCAATGGAGGTAGGAAGGAAGGAGGGAGAAGGTAGTTGTTCTGCGAATCTCTCGTGTATCAGATTTTGAGTTAATTATGGCAATCAAGCCCCAAACTATACTTTATATCAATTTGACCCCTAAATTATACAAGTTACTCAACCTGATCATTTAGTCCAAATTTACCATTAATTTTGACAAAAACTCTCACATAACCCTAGAACTATACCCTAATCATTGACTCACGTTATGTGCGTACGAAGATTTTTATTACAATTAACGGCAAATTTAGACAACAGGGTTACATTGAGTTAAATTTAGGGATTAAATTGATATAATATATAATTTATGGGCTTGATTAACAAAAATGATATAATTTAAGGGTTAAATAGTTAATTAACTCAGATTTTTTTTTTCTCTTCTGATTCCAGGTGGTTCCCGAGGAACTGGATCTGTAGAAACGGACGAGTCACGAGTCAAACTCGGAACCGCATATTTTTTGTAAAACATCAAATAATTTTGTTGTGGAGAAATTATTATGAAGGGGAGTGGCCGTCCACGTTGAAATTTCATACGAAATATGGAAGGACAGCGGAATTTACCTTGCCTTAAAATAGTCGAAATAATTTTGTTTTTAAGAAGATCGGAACGAAATTCAATAATCGAATCAATGACCAGAACGAATCAACAAGATGTTTTGAAATACCTCCAAGTCCTTCAAAATATTTCAACATATTTCTACCGTTATTTCGAATAATTTTAAAATATTTCAACATATTTTGACTAATATTTTTAAATATCTTGAACATAAATTCCCAATTTTTTGCCATTTCCATTATATTTTTGAAATGTTTTTATTTCTCAAACAACCGATCCAATGTATCGAAACAAAATTATGATTATTGATCCAATAAAATCTAACAAAACACGTTGATCTTGACAAATTAGGATGAACTATATACAATTCCTTGAATCAACGTAACCCTAATTGAATCATTCATAATTTTCCAACAGCCTCTCAAGAGAAAAAAAAAAGTTGGAAACACCCAGTAAAGCTAAGTACTATCAAGAGAGAGAGAGAAAAAAACCGTGTATGAACTCACAATAGGAAGATACATATGTTGAATAAATGAGAAATATAAGGTTGATGATGAGCAGTTATATGCAAAAATACAACCAATGTCTCAACTCGGGTCGAGGCAATTATGGAGCCGACGATCCACTTGTTCTTAGTCATCCTTCTAGACATGGCAGACAAGATTTTCTTACTCTTGTCAATGGCATCATCTACACCATTAAGCTGCAAGACAATGAAATTCCATCAGTCCACAAACTGATTGATGCTGCACTGTGCATGTGAAGTGTAGTTCCTGAAAGGAAAAGGTTCTGAGAGATAAGGGTGTAACTTTGGTGGGTCAACCCGAATTTAACTCGAAAAAAATAGAATTCAAGTTAGAATTTTTAATACTTAGGTTGGACTTGGACAAAAAAATCTTAATTCGAATTGAATTTGGGCAAACCTCNCTGTTGGAAACACCCAGTAAAGCTAAGTACTATCAAGAGAGAGAGAGAGAAAAACCGTGTATGAACTCACAATAGGAAGATACATATGTTGAATAAATGAGAAATATAAGGTTGATGATGAGCAGTTATATGCAAAAATACAACCAATGTCTCAACTCGGGTCGAGGCAATTATGGAGCCGACGATCCACTTGTTCTTAGTCATCCTTCTAGACATGGCAGACAAGATTTTCTTACTCTTGTCAATGGCATCATCTACACCATTAAGCTGCAAGACAATGAAATTCCATCAGTCCACAAACTGATTGATGCTGCACTGTGCATGTGAAGTGTAGTTCCTGAAAGGAAAAGGTTCTGAGAGATAAGGGTGTAACTTTGGTGGGTCAACCCGAATTTAACTCGAAAAAAATAGAATTCAAGTTAGAATTTTTAATACTTAGGTTGGACTTTGACAAAAAAATCTTAATTCAAATTGAATTTGGGCAAACCTCGGATTGAGACCTCAGGTTGAGACCTCGGGTTGTAGGGTTCAACCCGAATATTAAAATTGGGTTAAACCCGATTATTAAATCGGGTTGAATCCAAATATACATAAATAAATAAATAAATTTAACTAGAATTAGTATTTATCTTCGCTCTTTAGAGTTCAGACTTTCATTTCATTTCAAGTTTTCACCTCTGCTCCACCATCACTTCTAAATCCCTCTCTCACTCGTCACTCATCCCTTTCTCACTCTCTCTCTCTTTATTTGCGTCTCGTCCTTCATCTCAGATCACTTGTAAAAATCAAATTTACACTTGAAAAAATTAAATTTACACTTAAAAAAATCAACCTGAATTAAGTAACTTAAACACAACCTGATTTTTAACTCAAAATTAGTCCGAATTAAGTAACTCAAATTCAATCCGAACCCGCCCGTGTTAAACTCGGATTGTACTTGAGTTGAGTACCTCGGATTGAGACATGATTAGGATTAGAACTAGAGTTGAAAATTATATATCTGGGGCTAGGCTAGGACTAAGGTTAACCGCCAAACTGGCCCAAGTTGCACCCCTGGTGAGAGAGCCATTGTAGTAAGTGACTTGTTTCTTGTCCCTAAAGTATTAAGACCCGTCTCACATTGNAATTCAAGTTAAAATTTTTAATACTTAGGTTGGACTTGGACAAAAAAATCTTAATTCGAATTGAATTTGGGCAAACCTCGGATTGAGACCTCGGGTTGAGACCTTGGGTTGTAGGGTTGAACCCGAATATTAAAATTGGGTTGAACCCGATTATTAAATCTGGTTGAACCCAAATATACATAAATAAATAAATAAATTTAACTAGAATTAGTATTTATCTTCGCTCTTTAGAGTTTAGACTTTCATTTCATTTCAAGTTTTCACCTCTGCTCCACCATCACTTCTAGATCCCTCTCTCACTCGTCACTCATCCCTTTCTCACTCTTTCTCTCTTTATTTGTGTCTCGTCCTTCATCTCAGATCACTTGTAAAAATCATATTTACACTTGAAAAAATTAAATTTATACTTAAAAAAATCAACCCGAATTAAGTAACTTAAACACAACCTGATTTTTAACTCGAAATTAGTCCGAATTAAATAACTCAAATTCAATCCGAACCCGCCCGTGTTAAACTCGGATTGTACTTGAGTTGAGTACCTCGGATTGAGGCAGGATTAGGATTAGAACTAGAGTTGAAAATTATATATCTGGGGCTAGGCTAGGACTAGTACTAGGACTAAGGTTAACTGCCAAACCGGCCCAAGTTGCACCCCCGGTGAGAGAGTCATTGTAGTAAGTGACTTGTTTCTTGTCCCTAAAGTATTAAGACCCGTCTCACATTGATCTCCATTCTACCAATTGTGTAAATTTAGCCCCTAAAGCTTCCTATTCGACTCTAAATGGTCCGGTGAAAAATGGAGGTTTAAATTNTGATCTCCATTCTACCAATTGTGTTAATTTAGCCCCTAAAGCTTCCTATTCGACTCTAAATGGTCCGGTGAAAAATGGAGGTTTAAATTTATCAATAGAACTGCCCACCAGTGTATCATATGATTGGATACGTGACCATTTCTGCTAGCAGTGTTAAACCGCCTTTTAGATTAGATTAGTTAGAGCCAAGTTCAAAAATTAAGGGACCAGAGTTGACATGATTGAAAGAATGAAAACCAAAGTGAGCGAATTCTTTAGAGATGATTGCGGTTTTTCACCCTTTGTTTCCAGAAGGGCTCCTATTTACTATGGAAAGCAAACTTAACTCATGATGATGACAGAGATCAGACATGTCTTTGAANGAGATGATTGCGGTTTTTCACCCTTTGTTTCCAGAAGGGCTCCTATATACTATGGAAAGCAAACTTAACTCATGATGATGACAGAGATCAGACATGTCTTTGAAATGAAGTACCTTCTTATGAGAATGAAGGAGAGTTTCACGTTGTTGATGCAAATCTTCAAGGATCGAGACACCAAGCTCTTCTCTCTCCAGCATAGTTCTCCTGCTTTCTTTGATTCTGTCACTTGGCTGGTTCAATCTCTCAGTTGACATTGCCTGTCTTTCTCTTTGATTAGAAGCAGCCTGCGTCGTTGTGTCAGTCAGAAAACTCCACATCAAACACAAACAAGATAAACATCCTACCTAAATCAAACTAATAGTCATGCCACATGCGCGTGCGCGCGAGATAATAAAGAGAGAAAGGTGCGCTATTTCCGCCATGTGAAAGATAATGAAACAAAAATAAATCAAAATTTTAGTATTTCGAGGTGATTTATATTTTTTTCAGTTATTTTGAAAATTTTGATATATTTTTAAAATATTTTGATGTATTTTATTATATTTTGGTATATGTTGTCTAAAATTTTAAAAATAATTATTAATTTTTATTCTACTTTTGAAATATTTTCGAACTAAACTAATAAATTGAAACAAAATTTTGATTATTACCTATATAGTAGGTCAAAATAAAATTGAATGAATTTAATTTTTAATTAGTAAATATAGACATGATAAGTTTAGTTACTAATGAGGTAGGTATAAATGAGGTGAATTTAATAATATAAAATAAAATAATTAAATAGGGTGAAAAATAATATTTAAGTGTGAGAATAGCCCAACAAAAAAAAGGGGGTGTAAATGAAAGAAAGAATGGTAGTTTAGCCCCCAAAAGATGGAGATAGCGACGAAGTATAATTGTAGAAGTTTCGAGTTCAAAATTTAATAATTTTTTTGGGCCGGACTACGAAGAATCTACTTTTTATAAACTTTTTAGTCTTTGCGTGGATCAACTATTTTTTATTGGATCGGAGAGAAAATTCGTCGAAGTGTGTGTGACTTGATTCGGACTCCCCTAATTATTTTAATAAAAAAAATATTTTGATTTTTTATTCTCATATTGCACTTTTAATCACATAAAAAAGATAGAAATACGGTCCATTTTAATAAAATTAAATATTAATTTTTTATGCAAAATAGTTAAAAGTGAGTGATATATAAAAAAGTGAGCATAAAAATTTTAAAAAAAATGTATAAAGATGACAACTTAAAAATAAGTTAGTTTTTTTTTTAATCACACAAAAATGTGTCAGTTAAGGCAACAGATTTGTTGATTTTGATCACATCGTTATTTTTTTCTCTACTTAAGGTTACAATTTAAAAAATTAATTCTTATAGGGTTTTAATTAGGAATCTCAATATCTTTCGGGATGTAAAATGTATATTGATTGTTGAATTTCAAAAAATGATCAAAATTTCATTTTAAAACAGTCGAAACGTCTCCATTTTCAAAGAGATCGAAACTAATTAGTAATAGAATCAAAATTTTAAGTAGTTCAAGGTGTTTTATAATATTTCAAGATGTTTTGTAATGTTATAAAATATTTGCACAATTGTCGAAACTAATCAATGATTGAATTAAAATTCTAAATATTTCGAAGGACTTCATAATATTGCAATATGTTTTGTAATCTTTTAAAATATTTGCACAATTGTTTCAAAATATTTCAAGATATTTTAGTATATTTCAACTAATTTTTTTTTAAAAAAATTTTCATTCTATTTCTGAAACGGATTAAAATATTTACAAAACATGTTGAAACATTTCCGTCTCCCAAACAATGCACGAGATCAAAATTTTGATCTTTGATTCAAGTTTCCAACATCCCTTTCTTTTTTCTCGGAAAGTGACTTCAAAACCTTTAGTTGCATTGCATTGCATCCAGATGTATGAAGCAACAGCATGCTTAGTAATTTAAAAAAGACGAGCAGCCCAAATAACATAGCAGAATGTTCAACCACAAAGAATAATCCATGAAAATCACAAAATATCTCTACGAAACATCAGATCATTTAAGCTGAGACCGAGTTCATGATCAAGTCTTCCAAGAAATTCCAAGGTTTAATTGAACTCAAGAGTAACTAGCAGCTAATCAACCTAGAAAAATAAAGCAGAGACAAATAGCAGAGATTGGTTCCATCAAGCATAAATCCCAGACAGGAAGAACAGAGAGTTGCTCTACGAGTTGGAGGAACAGCAGCAGCAGCTAGAAAACCGGCACCGAAATTCTGAACCTCAAGCCATTATTTTGGCAGACCTCACATAGAGGCTATCAACGACCTTGCCCATATTTGCAATGGTCTCCAATGTTGCTGGGTAGATCGCATCTGTCTTTGGATCTTCAAAAATGATGAGGCATCCAGCACCTTGGTCTAAAGTCCCAGCAAACTTCTTATCCAGGATCATCTGAGATAATTTCTTCTCCACATGATCGGCAGGCAATTCAATTAACTCAGCAATATGGGCAATCTCAACCCTCGAGAAAGGCTCAATCAACCTGCAAAGATTCTGCTCAAGCAGTGTGTCATAGAGGGAAGAGAGGTGCCTGTGGACAATAGGGTCTTCCTCTAGCTGGGCCCTAAAATTGCGGAGAGCAATCTCGAAGAGCTTCAAAGAGCGTTTTGAATGAGCATCAGCAACGGCTTTCATTGCATCAAGTTCTGGCCCCTGATATTGCAATCCAACCTTGGGTGATGATATTATTCCTGCTACGTCATCAGCCTGGCTCACCATGATTTTGCACAACAACATATACTTGAGGCTATATATGGCTTGGGGATCTTCAAGAGCATTGAAAGCTTCAAACGCTTCAAAGAAATAGCTGTAACCAGTTTTATAATCCTTCTCTTCTGCATGCAGAATCCCGCTCTGCAAATCTATGGTGCCCTGCTGAGCCGGAGGCACATAAATAGCATTGGCTGCTGTTCTTGCTGCAGTAAGTGCAGCCTTGGCTTTCGGAAGATTTCTCAGAGAGAAATGGAGCTTGCTCTCCAACAAGTCTATCTCCACAAGAAGCAGCTTGTCATCTAATCTTCTCACCTCCTTGATCAGGACCGAAAGGAGGGTCAATGCTTCAGAGTACTCCTTGCTTTCCATTAAAAGAGCAGCAAGCCTTGCCTCAATTCGTTGACGAAGAAAAGTTCGCTTCTCAGAACGAGTCCACTGCACTATTTCTTTGCAAAGAGAGATCTGGAGATCAGATGTGCCTGGAATTTTAGCAACTGCATCAATAATACCACGAACTATTTTAGCAGTTTTTGCCTTTGGGATCAAGGAAAAGAAGGGCCGCAATTGGGTCAGAAGGTTTTGAAGTTCATCTGCCTTGTTCTCTTGTCTAAGAAGGTCAGAGAGGTTAGAAATTGCTTGTTCTTTTATTCGTAGGGCTTCGGAAGAAGATGAAGGTCCATCAAGTATGCGATAAAGGATAGAGATGGCCTCAGACGGGGTTTTGGCTTCTGAAGCCTGAACAAGGGAATCGGTGGTTGCTGGGAGATATGATGAAGACATGGTCACAGCTTCCAAATGTCAATCCCTGCAAATTTGGAGTTTTACGCTTCAACTTGCATTGCATAATTAGATAAGCCACATTTGTTTCCTAAAAATGATGCAAAAGTCTAATGTCAAACACCCATATCAGCTATTGACCAAAATATAAAGCCAGTTTTATATTTACTTTATCTTAAAATTTCCCAAGTGAGTCTTTAATGAAGATAATGCTTAATGCAAAAATCTCAGCGTGAGTTCCACAATCAATGTCCATCATCATGATCAAACTTCTGTTAAATAAATGAGATGAGCATGACCGTTTCAAGTAATGGTCCATATTCTGAATCTGTGGATTTGATGATCTATAACCTGAGGTGGTAAGTTATTTAGATTTCAGTTCAGTAAAGGCAGTAAGTCATTCACATTTAAAGTTTAGTACAGTATTCACACAGACAAACTACATCCACCCTTTTATAGGAGTATAGTCAACGCCATTCACAATTGGAGTAATATGAAAGATTGTGTTATAGGGCAAACTTCTATCCCTACAGACTACAGGATCTCCCACCACAGAGTGCAAACTCTAAGCTGTGAATTCATTCCAAGTCTAAGTAAGAGATTTTGTTGTCATGTGCACAGCAAAACCTTAGCTGGGTCGGAAACGTAAATTAACAGCTCAGAAGTAATTTATGTTGTTATTATTAAACTTTATTTTAAGAATTTTAATTAAACTCCAATCAAACCTCAAGCTGGGAATGGAAACAGATTTAACTGAAAGCACCATAGTGGAGTTTCTGTTAAAAAAACAGTGAGGTGACAATAAGTAATAAGTTCCCTTCCAATTTTCAACTTTTCTCCTTCATCTTAGAATAAGTAAATGTTATGGACTATTGCAAGCCAATCACATAAACACTCTCCAACAAGCTATGACATGTGTAGACATTTACCCTTATTAACTCGGTACTCTTTCCAGTAGAATATTCTTGTGCTAATTCACAGGCTTAACACAATAACACAACTCAACCTTACTCGTGTAGCTAGAACAAATTATTTCTATCACGCAACTAAAGGAACTAACTTCTCAAGTACAATAACAATTATGAACCACATTTAGGGCTTATGTAGCCAAAACAGAATAAAGAATTGTATCTATTCTCTCATTGAATTCTCTTTCCTACCCCAAGGAAAAAAGAAAAGGTTGAACATAGGCAGCACGTGTTTGCATTGCTTAACTACTAGGAAACGTTTCGGTATAGGAAAGTTCCGTAAAACACTATCCTACATGCTATGATTCCAAATATATGCAGACTAATGCAACCCACGACTGGGTTTTAAGGTGACCAAGTTCAATTTCTCCTTGTTTCTACTTTCCATAGTTCATTATGACTCTTAAATTCTTGTATTGATTTGGACTTGGATACACCTATTATTATAGCGTTGTTTTCTCATATAGTTCACTTCCGATATATATCAATTTATATTATTGCTATTTGACAGCTATTTTCTTGTACAATTTACCATCTACCATTCTTGTTTAACCCCAGGTATGACATCCAAATTCTATTTCTTATTTATTGTCAAAGAATATTTTTTAAAACTCACCACCAATGAAGATTTCAATCACACTATAACATTGTGGAACTCGCTATGTAATCATATGGTGGAGTACATGTATAACTAGTACTCATGAGCAATTTTGGGTTAAGCTTAAGAAAGCTGTAGAAAATGTGGCTCAACTTCACAAACAACACCCTATGATTTTTGCCCATATTGACAACACTTTGGATGGAAGTGGCATTAAGACACTATTATCTAACAAGTTTGAATTGGACAAGATAAGTAATGTGACCTTTCAGTTGATAGTTACCTTGAGGGTATCACTCTCAAGTAATCACCTGCTATTTATGAGGTTGGTTTTCGTTTACAGCTGTTTTATAATTTTCCCTAAAACTAGGACTGATAAAAATTCCTATTTTAAGTTTACTCAACATGATTCTTAGTGACTAACTAGAACTATCATCACCATCTATTTTCCAATTTAGGTACTACGTGTTGCATTCAAAGATGCACTAAAGAATGCAATTGCAAAATGACAAAGGATTATATATGGGTGGCACTTTATAGTGGCCCCATCGGTTGAATTACCTTCATTAGGTGCAGTTATCAGGTATTTATGACAATAGAATTAAATAGATTTTGTTCAATACAAATATAATTGGCAGTTCATCTAACATTTGTTACCAACCAACAAAT